ATATTAAAAGTACCTTTCATGGTGAGACATCCCAGAGTACATGCTCTCCACGAGAGCTGAAGACCTGAGGAAATGCTGGGTTGCGATGATCACCCTGGAAATGAATAAATACCAAAGAAAAGGTAAGTTAAAAAAAAAACAAAACTGCTTTTTAAAAAAACATTACACACAGCTACCAACTCCTGCATCCCAAACACACACTTACGTCCAGTCCAGGTCGGGCTGCGTCCTGCAGAGCTCCATCACCCTGAGCGCCAGCTGGATGTTCTGTGGATTCGACAAATCCTCCACCTTGGCTTCATCCAGACACGTGTGGAGCACCATAGAGGTGTAGTTCACCGTCTTCTCATCTTCAACACTGAGCAGCTGCCTGTTCGCACATGTTTGGGGTTGAACAGTGTAAAGAAATGTACTTGGCTGCTGTGATAAAAATGTAGAATTTGCATTTTTTTAAAAGGTAAAAAGTTCAATTTGGCCTCTAATAAACTGATTTTTTAGTGTGAACGAGTCAGAAATATGGGGATAATGTGATTAAATCCGATGCCAGTTTGAATTTACAAATGACAGTCACTTTCTGTAACAGCGTAGACTATTCTGATAAACTGTGATATGCAAAACTCACAGGAGAAGATTTGGGAAGCTTAGCTGCCAAATGTCGTCTTTACACATTTGGTTTCCGACTGCCAAGTTACCGAGGAACTGGATCCCACAACGAAGCGCTGAAGACGATTTAAAACAAAACAGATCAACATCAAGAAAGAGAGCGTTTAATCCTTTTATTAGGTATAGGAGAATAAAGCTTAGACTTACGTTCAAATATGGTATCTGTACTCTCCACATTTAGGGGCTGAAGAAAGCTCAGGAGTTTAAGGGACACATCAATGAAACCAAGATCCCTGGTTGAAAAAGAATCATTGCATGTTCATGTTTGTCTTTATTAAAAAGGTACAAAAGCTCAGCCCAAAAATATAAAACACTTTAATATGATGTAACCTAAAGCACTGGCACTAATGAGACCTGGAGCAGTCTTTTTGTTGAGATTGTATCAAAGTAAAAGTTGTTTAAGACCATACTCTTCCTACATTCTTCGACCTACATATCATTGATTCTTACACATGGTTAGACACATTTTAGCAGGAAAAAAAAGGGAGAAAGAGCATGCATTCGCTTAAGAATTTCTTTAATTTTACTGAATGTTTCTCCATAATACTGCATTGTAAGTGGACTTACCTGAGCAGAGTTTGGTTGCGAGTACTCTGGATACAGGAGTTCCTCTGGGCCCTGAAGCACTCGGCAGTCAGCTGCAGCTGCAACGTAAAGGACTGCAGGTCTTCACCGTCGCTGTTGGCAGCCTGCAGCTCTTCACACAGCCTGGTCAGGACCTTCAGCAGACTGGAGAATACCTCCTCCTCCACAGCATCTCTGAGGACAGAAAATTAACCAATGAAGAAAAGGAAGCCATCAATTATTCAACAGGTGAAGCAAACAACACTGTTAACTGCTTCTTAAAAATGAGAAAATGGATTGGGACGAAGATATTTGTGTGTTCTGATACTGCAGCGCTTTTGCCTGAAGTCACTGGTATTGCAGCGGGAGAGTCTTGTTTCGCCTGTATCTAAAATTTGTTGCTGACAGGGAAACGTTTTTTTTTTAGAAAATGGTCATTGAAAAGGCTTTCACTGAACAAAGTCCGACTTTGCTGCAAAGGCTTCAAATGTTTGGTTGTACTTTAAGTTATCGCAGAACAAAATAGTTTTTGTACAACTGTGCAGAGTTTCTGTGGCAGATCACAGCAGCAAAATGCACAAACAACTTAAGAGAAAACACACATCTGTTTGCTTCTCTTCTGCTCTTTGTGCTCAAATGTACTGTATATGAACACATCTACATTCCCGATAAAGCCGTTCTTATTCATATGTTTTTGTATTTATCCTGGCAGACAACAGAACGAGTAGGAAACAGTGACTGAAATACGCCTCATTCAAACTGCATGCATTTCACTGCACATGCCGTATGAGCATGTGACAAATAAAAAAATGTAGAATCTACTTGTTAACCAGCAGTCACTTCCAAGCTGCTGCTCTGCATTGCTAATATCCTGATTTTATAACTGCAGTATCATCCATCAAAACTCACCATATACAAGAGTCAAATAAGACAGCTGTGCTAAGAATTTGGCTGCAGTTTCATAGAATTCAAAGCTACGACCAAAGTCAGAGATCAATTAAACAATACGATGAAAAGAAGATGCTTTAGCTGCACTGTGCTTGTAAAATATCCACCATTTACATCTTGCACTTTCTTTAACAGACTGAACTTATTCACTGTGTCAAGGGGATTGGAAGATGCACGAATAACTTAAATAAATAGCACTTTAATATTTTTTTATTATGTTGGAGATTCCAATTTAACTTGGCTCTTTTGCACATAAATGTGTAAACCTTTGTCCACTTGGCATACTGTGCTGCATTTTACAATGACATACAGCTTGTCAGAATAAAATGAATGAAATATTCTTTTTCCTTTTCTTTGAGGATGATTAGTTGTTTAAATTAATCGACTAATCTGTAAAATAGTCAGTAGGTTACTTGAAATCAATACATCTAGAATTCACTGATATTAATGTGGAAAATTAATGTCCATAGAAACAAAGCGGGTCAACATTGCAGAAAGCACATTTTATGTTATCATTCTGAAACGACTTTAAAATGAGGCCGTTAGGAGATTAAGATGGGATGATTTCTGGGCCTCTAATGTGTCCAGATCCTAACAACGCCCCTGACTGACATCCAAGCTGCTGATGACTCTTCAGAAAACAGTTGTCATTAGCTAATAACGCTATATTAACAGAAACAACGACATTTAAAGTCATATTAGGCCGCTGACTCAAGTAACAAACCTACAGTTTATCAATATCATAACAAGAATAAATCGGTCTTAATTATAGCAGACAGTAGACCGTTATGTTTGGCACTACGTAGTCGCCTTCAAATTAACGCTAGCTTAGCCAGTAAGCTAACAGTCTCGAATTTCATTTGAAAACGCAGCAAATTAAACTGACTCTACCTGAATTCTTTCTCCCGCAAAGCAGTTGTGAACGTCTTTAGAGCCTGCAGGTGTTGAGGTTGGTGGTTTTCATTCAAAATATCAGCGATAGACGCTGAGATTTGCAGACTGTTGTCGGTGGGAGCTGCCATGTTTGCTGCTTCATGCGTGTGGGCGGGACTTCCGTGTGATGCACTCTAATCTCATTGGTTCATTCTGGGATGAGGGAGGAGTCACAGCATGTGCTCCTGTTTTCACACCGAAGCTTCAGGTTGGAAGGAAGGTAGGAAGCTGACAGACAACTGAAACCAAGGCTCAGAGTGTCAAGAAACCAGAATAAATCTTAAAATATTTGAGGGCAGAGGCGCTGGTGGAAAGTGTTAATTTAATGTAATTTAATTTAATTTAATTTAGTTTAATTTAACGCTTGTTTTTGACGTAATTGCGTTATAAAAGACATAATGACTTGAACACATTTCTTATTACAATTTTAACCACAACTAAAGTTGTAAATGTGTTATTATTTTAACATAATTGTTCTTAATACTACCTATATTGTTAATGATTTAGTTAATAATAACACAAATATAAAAAAAGTAATAACAAAGTGTATATATTTTTAAAAAGTGTTCTGATAATAAGTGAAGTTTAAGAAAATAATATCTGTTATGTTGAATATCTGATAAATATTCCATGATATTATTAATAATGTTATGCTAAACAGTGTGTTACAACAATAATGTATTCTAATATTATTGTTATGTGTTATTTTGTAAATATTTTGTAATTGTTGTCATTATTATAACATAATAATAATAATAATAATAATAATAATAATAATAATAATAATAGTAATAATAATAATAATAATAATATCCAATTATTANAATAATAATAATAATAATAATAATATCCAATTATTAATCTGATAAGTATGGTCATTAAAATATGTGTGTGTGTATAGTAAGATTTTTTTTAAAGTTAAAATAATACAAGATTGTTGTAACATACATACTGTTGTTGTTGTCTTCTTCTTCTTATTATTATTATTATTATTATTATTAGTAGTAGTAGTAGTAGTAGTAGTCGTAGCAGTAGTAGTAGTAGTAGTATCCAGCCATCATCATCCTGCTCAATCATCAATGTCTAAACACATAATTCTTCACCAGTAACTGAGGCTATACCTTCTCTTTTCTGCATGTTCCTTTGCTGCATTAACCTTTTCAGGATGTTATAACATACCAGATCTGTGGTTCAGCCTGTATCCAGCCTGGATCTGAAAGGAAGCTTTCAACAGTGTTATTAGGAGTGGTGGGAAGCTTCAATCACATACTGTATATTTTATTAAATTAGACCCAATTTGTGCCTATTATTACATATTAAACCTCAAAATTGCTGTGAGCTGCAGCTGCCTTCACATCTCACATCCATTCATCTCGAGCAGCGTTTAAAACATGATCGATTCATTGGGCGCAGACGAGTTGTGGGACAACGGCTGCAGCTGCAGCAGCAAAGCCACAAGACAAAGCTTTGTGATTTCCATGTAGTGGGGCAAATTTTAGATTACAGATCCGTACGGTTGTCCCCTGTGTTTCCACTGGCCAGCTGAGCGCAGCGGCGGTGAAAGGCAGCTCGATGCTGAGTGGAGCTGATTATGTATGGTAAGAAGCATCCACCTCAAGTAATTTGTCAGCCTGAAAATGAAGCATTTGTAGTAGCAAACGTTCCCATTATAGAATCGCCATTTTTCATCTTTTAAGTGGAATAACTGGAAATATCCTCACAAACTGGAAGTGGTATGGTACGACTGGGGGATCTGAGGAGTAGAGTTACAGGAAAAACAGGACATCCTATCAGATTTGAGTTATTCTGGAAACCTCAGTTATGTTAACTAGAAGACGGCCGGTTTAGTCTGCTGTGGCAGCTCTCGTAAGAAAAGAAAAAAAAACATGAACACAATTAATCACAAAGAGTCTTTATTACTCACAGATGGTCGGGGAGTCTGCCAGTTAAAAAAAACACAACAACACACAATTAAAGTTGTTGAAAGCAAATCCATAAATGAAGCATTTTCGGTCTGTCAAAACACATGAAATTAAGCACAAATCAAACAGTTTTGCTGGTTAAGCAACAGTGTATCATAGCGGCAAATCATGACAACAAATTCTGAACGGAGTTTAAACACAATACACAGCGGTTAGGGAGTTGAATGATGGTTATATGCACCGTGTTAATCTATGACACTCTTGTATAAAGCATGTTTCAACACACAAGGATAGTGGTATCAGTTAGAGAAATTAGTGTGCTTGGTGGCGTGAAGAATAACTTTTTAGATTTAGACGAGAAACCAATTAAAAACCACAAAAAAAAAATCCTTTCTGTGGATCAAAGTCACGTATTTAGAAGTTTCTTCTTCCATGAAACCAACCCATTCAAGCCTCAAAATGGCAGAATGACAGAATTTGCAGATCTACAAAGTTGCTGCCTCGGGGTCCAACCACTTGCTGTAGCTTGAGCACACCAGCTCACCGACAACTCTGCTCAGACACTGTAAAACTGCCCAATAGTAGGTTACAACACTGGCGTAATTCAGTCAAAAAAGTTAAATCATAATACGGAAAGTTCCACCCTGCAAGTTGACAGGATTGGTTGTTTAGGTTTGTTACATAAGAAACTTTGAATCTGTGTTTTTGAGATTTCAGTTTATCAGCAGTTTATTACTTATTTTGCTCATAATGTCATTTAGCACATAAAAACACCATATGGACACGTTAGCAAAGGTAAAAAAAAATCTAACTTTAGAGGTCCTCTAATGCTTCCAATAGGTTCCTGCCATTTGTGTTTTTAAGTGAAATGTCTCATTCGCACTTTCTTGTGCTGAATTTTAATTAAATCTAATAATTTTCATTTCTTAGCATTTTCATTTTCATTTCATCAGATCCCACCATCAGATCATAGTTTAAAATGATTCAATATGACCAAACTAAAAGCATTTTCATCATCCTCAGGAGTGCTTCATTCTAGTAAGTGGATGTTTGTATGCTGGCATATGAGCGAAGATTGCAAACATGGCATTCTACCTAAAACTAGCACGTTGGCATTGTGTTTGAAAGCACAGCTGTGATTGAGTACAACCTCACAGAGGCTGTGGGCTCTTAGTCCAGTGTTTTCTACCAGTGTGTTCTTATTTTATCAGTGTACATATACACTCATCAGCCAGTTCATTAAGGAACATGTGAAATCCAGTGTAATCCAAACCAACGGCTGCGCCATATATTCTGCTTTCATGACGCTTCTGCATTTTCAGTTGCTGTCATAAAAAGCAATGGTGGCTGTGGCCTGGACTGCAATACATTTAAAAGTGATATTATAGCAACCAAATTAACACACATGATGGAGGAAAATATTACAATTTTAAATGTATAATGCATCACCACCAACCACTATGACCCAAATGATAAATGTGAGGTAGAATCTACACAACACCAACAAAAGCTAAAACTATAGAAGCTTTGTGAAAGTAGGTTTTATGGCAGAGCTGTTGTATTGGACTGCATTAGATTTTACAAGTGTACCTAATAAACTGGCCAGTAAGTGCATCTATATGTAGTGTGAAAATGACAGCAGCTTCTTGCAAACTACTGACTTGAAAGAGCTGCAAACTTCAACTGCAACAGTCCACGTGAAAGACTCGCAAACGGACGTAAATCTTGCAAAGCATCATTAACCTTTGAGGCTTTTTGGGGAGGGGGAATATTCGGCACAGTAAATGTGGCGAGTCCAAATATTTAAAACGACATTGAAATACACATTTGTCAAGTTACATGCTGTGATGCCGATTGCCAGCACCTTCTTGTGTCAGATCAGAAAGAGAATTCGGAAATGAAGACATGAACCATGATAACACTGCGTTGAAAAATGATCCCTGACTTGACGTAGTTCATAGAAACCTCCAACACAAGCTCCTTGGGGCCGATGATGGGCTTCACCTGCCGGATTACACCTGAAGGAGGACGTAGATGGGATTACTGACTGAAACTGAATCGGAAATTACTGCTGCTGAAGGATTTGATTCAGGCTTGGATGTCATTTCGAAGACAAACTCTCTCCTCTTACCCATAACCATGCCATTGTAGGCGCGCCGCACCATGTCAAAGAAAGCCTGGTGTTCTGCACCCAAGACGACGAAGAAAACCTCCGTCGCATCGGGTGGAGGAGCGGGGTCAGCTGGTACAGTTGTCCGCAGGAAAACTATCTCTGTTGAAAGAGTGGATTTAAAGTTTTTATCAGTCTGATAGAGGAACACCGCAGAGTACATTCAGTTCTTCCAATCGCATAGTTATTGTTCTGTGGGTTGAGATAAGTAACTGGATCTTATGTGCTGCGGCTGGATGGTGGGGGGAGGGTGTTACTTCACTCAGGCTGCAAACAGTTTGTGTATTTTCTACTAGTTTGATGATATGCATTGAGTAAAAGGATACAGAGTACAAGAACGAATTCAGCCGAGCATCGTAGACATGCACAGGTGTGTGATACAGAGATGAAAAGCCATCAGAAACTTTACCCTCGGGTTCAGTGAAGTCTCTGAAGGTTGGCAGGGAGATAGCAGTGTGGGTGACCATGTTGACGGGATGATGGACACAGTTAGCGTCATGAGGTTGGCAGTGCTTCATACAGCGTATTGTGGCTGAAGCATCTGCTCCGGGTCTAAGAGAAACAGACAGGAGAGATCAGAATGAGAAGATGAACTTTACTGATGCATCATTGGGGGAAGTCACTTGTTACAGCAGCTAGACAGTAAGAAACAAGACAAGGAATACAAAAGACTACAAAGAGACGTCAAAAGGTCGTCTGCCTCACCCGGAAACAAGGAGCGCAACTCCCATTTTGGGGCATAACTGTACACTTTGAAGTCTTATATCGCTGTCTGCAAAATCTGAAATGTTTCAGGCAATCAAAGAATAAAAGAGAAGAAAGTTTCAAGCTGTTGGTGGCACAAGCAGCCAAACTGGGTTTTGAAATGTTGCACCATCGACCTGCACTTTCTGACTTCTATCTGTTTCCCCAAACTGTTGAATGTTCAGATAGATGATGAGGTCATACTGTTGAGGAGGCTCAAGATGTGAGCTTCTTCCACGAAGGGACAGTGACGCTTGAACATCGGTGGGCCATTGAAGTTAAAGGAGACGATGTTAAAAAACAATGTGAGAACAATCTTTCTTCTGGGATGTTCTTGAATGAGACCGAGAACTTTTGGAAGAACCCTTGTATGTACATCTTTCACGTGGAAAGATATGTATGGATATGGACAGGGAAGAGGAAGACGGATGGAAAATGTGGAGAAAAGGGAAGAATTTATGACCAAGAGAAGATGAATCTCGGAAAATGATGCATTTAGTCAGTTTAGTCACTTCAGTTGGTGCCATATTCACAGCACAGGTCTTCTCAAAGGACTTCAGATAGTATGGTGAAAACCTTACAAAATAATGTTACAGAAAGACACCCAACAAATCCAGAGGAAGAAGAAGAAGAAGAAGAAGAAGAAAAAGAAGAAACATCTGGCAGAACCAGGCTCATGGTGGGAAGTCATCTGCCTTGACTGGTTGGGGTGAAAGTAAAGAAGAAGGAGAACAGGATAGCAGAGCAGTACACAAGAAATGGTGCTGGTGAGGTCAGAAACCACCGAACAGAAAGCTCCAGAGCCACATTTATAAGTTGGTGGGATTCGATAATGGTATATAAATGTATGGAGCAAGAAAGAGAGGAGATGTGCTCACTTCATAATGATTGAGGGTCACCTGAGTCCACCCGAACTGTAAACTTTGATAAAAAATAAAGTTTTGAGCCTTGAAGTTGAGAAGGTGTCCAGTCAGGAAGCCGGTTCCACAGCAGAGGAGCCTGAAACTTCAGGAACCAAAAGCAAAGCAGCAGTCTGAGAGTGAAGCGCCTACTGGGATAATATGGTTTTTAAGATATGATGGAGCTTGGTCATTAAGGGCTTTGTACAGCATGTGATTAGGATTTTAAATTCTATCCTGGATTTTATAGGGAGCCAATGAAGAAGAGCTAATGTGGGAGGAATGCGATCGCTTTTACTGGTTCCTGTCGGAACTCTGGCTGCAGCATTTTGGATCAGCTGGAGGTTTTTCAGAGAGTTACTGGGACCTCCTGATAATCACAAAATAAAATAGTCCGGCATGGAAGTAACACATGTGTGGACCAGTTTTCCAGAATCACTCTGAGACTAGATGTACCTGATTTTGAAGAAGGTGAAAGAAGGCCGTCCTACAGATGTGCCCTATGTGAGCGTTAAAGGGCATATCCTGGTCAAAATAACCCCAATTTCCCTCATAGTGGTATTGGAGGTCAAAGCATCAAACATAACGACACACTAAAAAGTAACTTAAAGGACCAATTCCCACCACTCTGTTAAATGCAAGTCTAATTTACCTATAGATTGGCTATTTTGAAGTTGCAAACATTGTTTTTTCAGGGTTGGACTGACAAAATGTAATAATAATAATGATGGTAGTTGCATCAACTTAATGCTGCAAAGACATTTAAACTCAAATTTCCATGTCAAGTTAAGGAAGCCTCATAAAATTGACGATGTGTTAGTTTTTGTTCACCTTGAGGTCAAGATTTCAAGTCCTACTTAAGACAGGAGCAACTGGAGCAAACACTTCATAATTAAGCACTAAACACTAAAACATTCATTCTATAAATAATGTCGAAATACAAGTCAGAACAACTTAATTTTTAATGAGTAATCACTTTAAAACTTGTGATTATGCTACAAATCACTGAATTATTAAAAATATCTTTAATTGTGGTGGAAAAGCTAATTCTCCTCATTTAATGCAGTTTGTTGGTCAAACTTTATGTCATTAGAAGTTATGGTTACTCAAAAAGATCGATCCAAACCTTTTTCTTCTTGTTGTTGAGCCACTATTTTAGAGTATAAATGGTTAAACAGCATGTTTTTGAGGTGTTTAGGGCCGAACTTTAGTTTTATTTGAATTCAGAAGAAGAAGATTACAGATCATGTAGGCCTTTACGTCCTTAAGAGATGGTATAAAGTTTGAGTAGCAGATGTGTTTTATCTGGCTTCGCAGATCTGAAGTGCAGATTTATTACCATTTCAATCTATAGAGTACACAACAGTGTTCATAGGAAGCGGCTTTGACCGAAGCGACTCGAGCGAGAAGAACCTGGCAACACCTGAATAGTCCCATAGACCTCTACGGTTAACCGAGCCCTAAAAAGAGGCCAAAACCTCTGATTCCAAACCCTGGAATCATGTTTGCGAGGCTTCCCCCAACGTGAGGACAGTGGTGCTTTCAAACGTAACCTCAAAAACTGCAGAGGGAGCTGAGCCATGTAATTAGCAGCAAGCAGGTGAGTCCAAGTCGTTCGGCGAGCGGGAGGCCAAACCACGGGGATGATTGTGTGGTATTCCACACCAGCGCAACGCCACCAAGGAAAAACAGGCTGGTAAGAAAACCAGAAGAGGGTATGTAAGAATGAATGTCATTTCTCATTTATTGAGTGAAGAGGGGAGAAAAAACTGACAGAATCCGCCGCTGAAACTGAGAAAAACTACAGGTACTGCTACTTTTATTACTAATTTTACAAGCATAAAACAATTATCTCAGCATTTTTGGTTATATAATCCAAAGATCGAGAGGAATTACACTGACATATATTTCATATCTTTGGGTTTTCAATTAGCTTTATGTGCACCAAACCCTCAAAAACCACAAGGAGGAAAGTGAAACAGTGGAAAATTTGTCTGGTTGCATTTATCCAGCTGACCAACACAGCTACTGGCTTTTTCGGTATCATTTACAGCAAATTAACTGATAACCACCCAATACCAACACTAAAAACACCATCCATCATGCGAGTTAAAATCTCACTCCACCACTAATTGAGCCCCCAGTTCTTGGCGGGACCCCAGGTGGCCATAAATAAGTGCCACGCTTATTTTTCTTGCAGGCCGCTGAAGGCGAGGGCCCGTTTGATCCTTTGGTGAAGCCGCTTGGAAGCCAACGTAGGAAAAATTGGTTTCAGCATTAGAAATGACCACAGCGGAGGAAGCAGGAGAGTAGGCGCAGAAACCATAGCCGGTGTGTGTGCTTCGATATTACAGAGAAAAGCCATTTTTATCCGTCATGTTAAAAGAAAATAAAAAAAATTCAAACTGTGCATATAAAGAGAAGCTGCCATACAGATGTGAGGTAAAATAAGCTGCCATTAATGCACAATATTGACAAAGCGCTGAAGTCCTCAGCGACTAACAGGCCCCATCTAGTGGTATCTTGCGCGATGTTTCCACATTTGATGCCACATTAAATCTCAGAACGCGCATTCGAAAGGCGGCCGAGCTACAGTAAAACTAGATTTTTGTGCCTCTCAGTGGAAATGCATCGCAGAGACCGCATTACAAACAAGCGCGCTTCCATTAGTAATTTGGACTTTTTGGTTTCAGTAGCAAATAATTTACTATTAAATTCATGTTTTTACTCCATCTTAAGGCAAGAGTTTGACATTTATTTGCTTTCTTGCTGAGAGGAAAAGGAAAAAGAGGTTAATCTTAATTCAATGTCTGCTGCAAGTTAAATATGAAGCCACAACCAAGCGGCTGAGTCCAAAAGGTGACAAAATCTGCTTTTTTAAAAATTGAATGTGTTGATTATGTGGAAGAAGGAAGAATTCAGATTCTTCCCTTTTGTAAAAGAAACAATACAAGAATGTAAAAACACTAGATGACAAGGAAAGTCGTGGTTCAGTCCCACTCAAATGATATATTATTATATTCTATAAGATCAGAGATTCTTATTGCTGGTGCATCAGTTTGTTATGCAGGGACAGAAGATAAATGTGAAGGGTCATGAGATGATTAAAGAGAGACGAAAGAATGAAAAATGAAAGCTTTTATGCACAAATCTGTTTTCAGATTTTGGACTTTTGTGAGATATTGTTGAGATACTGAAGCATTTTACTGAAACAAAACCACAAATCATGATTTGGTGGAGCTGTTAGTAACTCATGGAGATCTAAAATGCGACCACGACTACACTCTGCTGTTTGTAAGACGCCAGAAATGTGGGATCTTTAACAATATGTTCCATCTTAAAAGCTTCGTATGTTCTCTATTGTGTAAAAAGCTGCTGATTCTAGCTGCATATTTAGTTACACATATGAGATGTGTTGTGATTTTCTCATTTAACCCTCAGCAAGAAAGTGAAAAAACGTCAAAATCATCTTTTAAATGAATAATTTGGAATGTTTTTACCCTATATATCGCAGTAAATAGATTTATTGAGGGAACTGCTAATTCTTTTTTATCACATGACTGGATTTCAATCAAGAGCTCAGATCCGGAATGAATAGTAAGAAACAGGTTAATGCTTAAAAAACACTCCCAAATCCAGGAAAATGACAAACTTCTTTAGTGAATTCTTGCACTCAAAAAGGGCTGTTGATTTGTTTTTAACTGTATTAATGTGTAGATGGAAAGCTGCAGCTGTGATTCTCGTTCTTTTGATTCCATCCATGTCAGAAAAGTTCTAGGACTGGTGTCACAGAAGATATATTTCAAATCCAAACTACAAACCAGTCTAACACACTTCCCCAGCCTTCTCCGCCACACCACCATGCACTCCTGGAAGGATTCTTCTGGGATCTTCGTCAGCTCCGTCGTCACAGCCATCTTGATGTCGTCCACGTCTTTACAATGGGTCCCCTTGATGACCCCCTTGAGCTTGGGGAAGAGGAACAAATCCCACGGAGTCTGGTAGGGTGAGTAGGGAGGTTGCTTCAGCACGGAGACGTTCTTCTCAACCAGGAACTGTCGGATGCTCAGAGCATTGTGAGGAGGCGCGTTGTCATGGTGAAGCAGCCACCACTTGTCCTGCCACAACTCTTGCCTCTTCCCCTAACGAAGCAAACGCCACAGGATCTCTTTGAAGGGGAAAACTGATCGGTTGTAGTTTGGGTTTGAAATATATCTTTTGTGACACCAGTCCTGGAACTTTTCTGACACACCTTGTACGTCTAATAAGGAAATGTTCTTGAGGGTCGAACGAGCTGCTCATGCGTGACAAACACAACGATCTTGGCCGTGTACAGGTGTGTAGTTCCGTAGCGAATCAGCCTCATCTCCAGGGTCAGAAAAAAGTCCCTGGGCTCAGTCAAGACCCTCCGCAGAGAGACCACCCCTCCGTGAGCCTGCTGCTGCACCACGAAGTATCCATCCTCGTCTCCGGATACGACATCGAGCTGCATTTGGTCTCCGGCCGCGGAATTGGAGGGTCCCACGCGGAAAACGTCGGCCGGCACGGGGGTGTTGGTGGGGAAGCTGATGTTGTAGAAGGAGATTCTCAACGGCAGCGAGAAACACGACGCAGGGTCCCGCGTGAGCTCGCAAGTTAGGCGATCGCAACGGCTGGAAAGGGACAAAATGAAAAGGAAGGTTCTCACTGGATGGAGCAACGGATGGAAGCTGGAGAGCGAGAGGAGAGTTTGTACCCGAAAACTGTGGGAGAACGGCGGCAGCAGGCCAAAACCAGGCAGGCCGAAACGACGACAGGACAGAGTCTTAACACCAAACTTCATGTACGTTAACATTCACCATGCCACAGCATCCCTTTCCTTTAAAATCTCTTCAAAACCACTGCTGAGCTCTTACCCCTTCGCTGCTTGCCGGAAGTTTGGAGGACATTCAAAGGACAGACAGCGGTATCCTCCCAGGACGTTAAAGCAGCTCTGAGAGACCGAACAGGTGTGTGTTCCTGCAGCACATTCATCAATGTCTAGAGATGCAGGAGAAAACAAAAGAGGGAGTCAGTTTAGTAACACGACCACATCGTAGTTTAAACCAGCAAAGCCTCAAGCAGCTTTTTCACATTTTTATTCGCTGTGGACTCACTTT